GACTGCAGAGCAGATACAGATAAAAAGAAAGTAGAGGAACTTAGGAAAATAATGGAAACCATGAATGCCCAACATAGGGACAGAAATGTAATCCATGAAAGATTCAGACAGATATTCTGGAGATTAAAAGTTCCATTGAAAGTACACACAACATAATGATCCAAGGTGAAAGTAGAATTTCAGACATAGAAGACAGAATTGGAACTACCAAACATGAAAAGATAGATTTCTTAAAAATAGTAAATGGGGGTTGGGGGTTTAGCTCAGCAGCATAAGTGCCTGCCTTGCAAGCACGCAGTCATGAGTTTGATCCCCGGTAGCCCTTCCCCCAAGAAAAATAGTAAGGGACCACAAGAAATCAATCCAGCACCTGCTACATGATGCAAAGAATAACTTAAGATTGATCAGAGTTGGTGAAAAGACAGGCAATAGTACAAATTACTTCTGTTCTCAAATGTAACAGGAGAAACCTTTCCAAGCAAGAAAAAAGAATTTGATATACAGCTAATAAGTGAGTTATATAGAACTCTAGCTAGCCATGGTAAAAAAAATCTATACCAAGGCATATAATAGTCAAGAGAATCCAGAAACTCAACACAAGAACAGACTATTAAAAGCTATTAGAAAAAATGAACAAATCACCTGTAAAGGAAAGCCAATCAGACCATACTTCTCAACACAAATTCCCAAATTAAGGAGAGCTTGCAGGGAAGTATTTCAAGCCCTAAAAGAAAACTTCCAAACCAAGGATGTACCCCACAAAATATCTTTCTAAATTGATGGAGAAATAAGATACTTCTATGACAAGGAACAACTGAGGAAATTCATGAACACTAAACCAGTGCTCCAAAACGTTCAGAGCATATTCTAGAAAGAGATAACAAGAGTTATAACTCCATGAACCCCAACAGAATGAGTCCACCATGCGAGGGAAGCAACTAAACAAAGGGGAAAAATATGAGCAACTACAGGAATATAACATGACATGTCACTTATCACTCAAAGATAAGTCAACACCTACTAGTTATAACCATCAATATTAATGATGTTAATTCATCAATCAAAAGAAACAGACTGTCAGAATGGATCAAGAGGCAGGATCCAAAAATATGCTGCATATGACGAACACATTTAATTCAAAAGGAAATTCATAGACTGAAAGTCAAAGGATAGAAAACAATACGGCCTGTGACAGGAATCTGGTAAAAAAGGAAGATAGATATTCTATTTGCAGGCAAAGTGAATTTCAGGCCAAGACTGAGTAAGAGAGACAAAGAAAGTCACTGCATCCTGGTAAAGGGAACAATCAAAGAGGAAGAATTGGCAATCATAAATATACATACACCAAATACCAGTGCACACAGCTATATACAACAAATATTAATGGACATGAAACATCAAATAAGCACTAATACAATTATATTGAGGGGTCTCAGTATACCACTGTCACAGATAGAACTAGAGAAAATATTAACAGTGAAATATCAGAACTGAAACAAATTTTTGAAGAAACAGACTTAATAGATATCTATTCTAATGTTCCACCCCACATTAGAATATACAATCTTAGCTGCATTTTCCAAAATACACCACATATTTGCTCATAGAATATGCCAAAGTAAATGCAAAAGAAAATGAAGTTATTCTATTAATATTATCTGACCATAGTGCAGTGAAATTGAAAATCAGTGTCAAAAGAAACTATTAAAAACTCCATAGGGGCTGGGGATTTAGCTCAGTGGCATAAGCACCTACCTTGCAAGCAGGCGGTCATGAGTTCGATCCCCCGTACCGATAAAAATGAAAAAGACAAAAAAAAAACCTCCATAAACACATGGAAGTTAAAACTATCCTGAACCACCAATGGGATCACAGATGAAATTAAAGAAGAAATTAGATAGTTTCTACAATTAAACAATAATTGCACTTTGGTAATTCATATGTATCTAGGATTCTGCCCATTTCTTCTGCATTTTCCATCTTATTAGAATACAGATTCTTTTTTTTTTTTTTTTTTGTCTTTTTCATTTTTATCGGTACTAGAGATCGAACTCACGACTGCCTGCTTACAAAGCAGGCGCTCATGCCGCTGAGCTAAATCTCCAGCCCCAGAATACAGATTCTTGAAGTAGGTACTGAAGTAAGTACAGGCAATACAACATACTGAAATTTATTCAACACAGTGAAAGCGGTCCTTCACGGAAAATTTATAGTGGTGAATTCCCATATTAGGAAAACAGAGCAAGCTCAGATAACATAATATTGAATCAGACTCCTAGAAAAAGAGCAAATCAAGCCCAAAACTTGCACAAGGGAGGAAATTATAAAGATCAGAGCAGAAATTAATGCAATGGAGAACAAGAAAACAAAACAAAGAATCAAGGAATTGAAGATTTGGTTCTTTGAAGATTAAATAAAGTTGATAAATCCTTAGTCTACCTTACCAAAAAAGGAAAGAATAGACTCAAATCATGTAATTAGGAATGAAAAGGATAAAAGCACAACAAAGTCTGCAGAAATCCAGAAGACTGTCAGTACCTACTTGAAGAATCTGTTTTCTAATAAAGTGGAAAATGCAGAAGAAATGGACAGATTCCTAGATACATTTTGGGGGTTTTTTGTTTGTTTGTTTGTTTGTACTGGGGATCAAACTCAGGACCTTGTGCTTGCCAGGCAGGCACTTATGCCTCTGAGCTAAATCCCCACCCTCTAGATACATACAAATTACCAAAGTAGAATCAACAAGATATAAAAATTATAAATCAACTGTCTTAGTTACATTTCTTGTTGGTAGGACAATATACCCAACACCCAATGTTAAAAGAAGAAAGATTTATTTATGTCACACTTTGTAGAGGTTTCAGTGCGTAATTGACTGGCTCTAGGTCAAGATGGCTCATGGCAGAGGGACAACATTTCACAGCCACAGAAAACAGCAAGAGCAATGAGAGGGGAAGGCAGAAGAAAGAAAGAGAGAGAGAGAGAGACTGAGACTCTTTCTCTTTTGTCCCTTACATATTGTTTGTACCAAGGTTAGGGTGGTGCCAATTCAATCAATGGACTGACCCAGCAATTACCAACCCCCAAATCCAGCACCCTTAATTCCAGCATTGCACTATCAATCAATCACACACTAGATTCAATCACCTCCGAAAAACCCACACACATCCGCCTCCCCACAACAGCATGAGGCTTTGGGGGGCATCTAGACACAAACCATAACAAACCAATATCAGTCAATGAAATTGCAAATATAATTAAAACCCGATCAACAGTGAAAAGCCCAGGCCCTGACAGAGTCACTACTGAATTCTGCTAGAAATTTAGAGAAGATTTAATGGTGTTACTTCTCAAACTCTTTAATGAAATTGAAAGAGAGGCAATACTCCCAAATTCATTCATGGAAACAAGCATTACCCTGATACAAAACCAGAGAAAGACCCAACCAAAAGAACTATAGACCAACCTCCCTAATGAACATAGATGCAAAAATTTCCAATAAAATACTGACAGAAAGAAACAAATCATCAAAAAGATTATGCACCATGATCAACTGGATTCACCCTGGGGATACGTATGCAACTTATGCAAATCAATAAATGTAATACAGAATGTTAACAGAGCCTAAGACAAAAACCATATGATAATCTTAATAGATAAGAAAAAGCATTTGATATATTTTAATACTCATTCATAATTAAAACTACAGAAAACAGGAATCATTGGTCTTTATCTCAATATGATAAAAGCCATTTATGATAAATCAACATCCACCATCATACTAAGTGGACAAAAACTGAAAGCTTTCACTCTAAAATCAGGAACAAGACAAGGATGTCCACTGTCACCACTTTTATTCAGTATATTATTTCTGGAAACTTTAGCCAGAGCAATTATACAAGAGAAAGAAAAGGAATAAAGATAGGAAAAGAAGAGGTTAAATTATCATTATTTGAGGTTAACATAATACTCTACATAGAAGACCCCCAAAATCCCACCAAAAACTTCTACATGTAATAACCAGATTCTGTAGTGTAGCTGGATACAAAGTCTACACTCAAAAATCAATAGCATCCCTATTTCTCACGAGTACAAACTCACTAAGAGAGAGATTACAGAAACAACACCTTTCACAATTGCATCTGTTATGATTTGTGTCTTGATAGCCCCCCAAAAGTCTCATGCAGTAATAGAGGGTGAGCTTTTCAGAGTCAACTGAATTAGTTGTGATTAGTTCAGTGTCTAGTGCTGGATCGGGATGGGAGTGCTACACCCACCCCAGGATGTGTAGCCTGCATACAGTATAAAGAGGAAAAGAAGTTTGCCCCTTCCCTTTACCTGCTTTTGCTCTTGTTGCTTTCTTTCTGTATTAAAATATTTTTAATATTTTAATAATAATTTCTGTATTAAAATATTTTTTATTTTAAAAATAAAAGATAGAAATGATACAGAATATTTTAAATAGTAGAAAATTAACACTAGTTAATATATTGCATATTTTTATCTTAGAAATAGTTGTTCAGGTTAACAGATTAGTTTACCAACGTAAGTGCCTGCCTGGCAAGCACAAGGTCCCGAGTTTGATTACTGGTACCAAAAGATTTTATAGGGATGAAAGAAACAATCAACCAATCAAACAATGAGAGCACAAACTGTTCTTTTTGATGAACTTACAGAGATTAGTAGTATAGCTATCTATCTTGTATATATGCACATACACACATATACATGTATACCTATACACATAGTCTTTCCCTTCTTCCTTTTCCCCTTCCCCCCATCCCAGTTGTTCTTTCCTTTTGAGCACTTTCTTTCCCTTTCATTTTCACAATATCTATTGTACATTTTGGATTTTATTACTTTTCAGTGTTTTTTATACTAGTGAGACAATACAATATTTACACACTGACATGGAAAATTCACCAAGATACAGCATATTTTAGGCCACAAATTGTACACGAACCAATATAAAAGGATAGAGCTGGCAAGCTGGCGCACACCTGAAATCCCAGCACTCGAGAGGCTGAAGCAGGAGGATTGCCATGGCCAGCCCGGGTGAGTTTGAAGACACCCCGTGCTACTCAGGGAGACCCTGTATCAGAACAAAGCAAAGCAAAGCAAAACAAAACAAAACAACAAAGTACTGTGAACATATGGATCAAAGAAGTACCAAAATAAAATTTAAAATATTTTAAACTAAATGAAAATGAAAATGCCATTTATGATGTAGGACGCAGCAAAAATAGGGCTGATAGTGACATTTAAAGCCTGGAACCGCATACATTAGAAAACAAGAAAGATCTAAAATTTCTAAGCCCCTCCGGCATACTTACTTGATGGCGTTCTCCCTGATTACAAAATACTGGGGAGCATGCATTTGTCTTCAGATAGCACAAAGATAGAAGGAGGAACCCCACACCACAGAGGCAGTCAAAGACAGGTATACCCAGGACGCCCCACTGGAGTTCATCCATCCCGCCGAGGGGCTCCTCAGACAGTGGTGATGCCACCCACCCATCATCAGAGGGGACACTGACAGTGCACATTCCAGACACGGTTCCAGGCCCGCATCACAGAGCTCCAGCACACCGGGGTTCTGGAACGGGGAGGGGTGCTGTGGGAGGTGCAGCCCCAGCCCCCCCTTCACCCAGCCCGGCTGACCCATCCGGGCCCTGGGCCTTTAAACCCTCGCTCTTTTCCCCTAACTCCACCCTGACTGTATACCACATACTGACCTCACGGACAAGGTCTGCTTATTCCAATAGTTAGCTGGGTGCTGGGGTCATCGCCCTTTGGATTCCGCACAATCTTTGAAAGGCTGTTGTGCCCAAAGAGTTGCATCTCAGGATCTGCTCCCTCCTACCTGAGCTTCCCCGCATACACGGTGGTCAGGTCACTTTTCTAAAACCAGAAATGTGCTCCGCATTGCTCACCCCTTTCCCACATACGTGGTTCCTCAAAATAATATTTACCAAAACTTTAACAGGGAAAAAGGAAAAACAGCTTGAACATCTTCTAGCAGTTCTTTTCTCCAGACTCCCTTAGATTGCTCTGCCCATCAAGGCTCTCGAGTCTAGCCCTTTCCACCCACATAGCCCCCCACCCGCTGGCTCCCCATTCTCCCTACTAACCCTGTCTTCTCCTTCCCAACCTCTGTTAATTCTATCTGGATTTCATAGAGCATTTGTGCTATCCCCTACCCACACAGCCACGCCCAGCCTGGTTTAGGGGTAGGCTTCTTTTTCATTTCATCATTTTGAAAGAGTATAACTGAAATTACATACAGTGAAACCTTTTATATCGAGTCAAGGTAATGGTTACTTTTGTTGGAAGTATTTATGAAGTTTATTCCCATGTACTTTCTAATTTTTCACAAAATTCTAGTTCCTCTATGCTTTTAAAAATAAGATCTCAATCTTGTGTGGGGGGGTACACAGTACCTGTATTTATTCTATCTCACCATGTGATCCAGTCATTTATAATTTATAATCTTTTTTCCCCCCTTTTTCGTTTTTATCGGTACCAGGGATCAAACTCACGACTGCCTGCTTGCAAGGCAGGCGCTTATGCCACTGAGCTAAATCCCCAGCCCCCTAGTTTATAATCTTTAAAGCTTCATTATTTAGCCTGTAAACTGTCATTTCTCAGCATTGCTTGTCTGTGTCCCCTCAGCGGACCTGAGGACTCTGCCCTGACTACTTTCCATGTAATGGTTCACTGATAATGAAACTGCTTTCTCTCCCTCCACTGTGCACCTAAAACAAAATCCACTTCCAGCCTGCCTTCTGACATCTACCCTCCTTTGGCTACAGTAGATCTCTGTTTAGAAAAATTCCTCCAGCCGCACATGTTAAATTACTAAATTGAATAAGATAATTTCCTTTTCTTAACACACACAATGGAATATTCACGGAGAAAATGTGTAAGTAAGAAATGTGTTGTCTAAGGCAGCCTACAGAGGGCTGATGCCTCTGCAGTAAAGGAATTTACAAAGAGTAATGTCTAGTATTTCTCCCATTGGAACCCAATGTCTGACACCCACAAATTAAAAGAGGAAAGGATTAATTTAGATTAAAGTTTATAGAGACGGCTCACAATTTATAGAGATTTCAGTCCATAGTGGGCTCCATGGCAGAAGGACATGGCGGAGAAGTGTTGCTCATGGCATAGCAGCAGGAAGCAGAGTGGTATCAAGGGGCAGTGAGGGAGATACGCCCTGCCAGGCCCTGCCCACTGACCACCACCTCCAGCCGGGCCTCCCCTCTCACCAGCACAGTTAGCTGTGCACTCCCCAGGGGACTAATCCAGCCACCTCCCCAGAGCCTCACCTAGACCACACAGGCTTTGGGGGAACAGTTAGATACAAGCTGTAACACTCAGAGTAACTCAGAAGGAAGTTTGTTGAAATATACACGAGAGCCAGCAGGGGCAGCTTTTATGTGATTGCTGACCCGTGCCAGGGCCATGGGGATCTGTGACACTTGACAAGACTGGACAATAGGATATTTTTGGTGTGGAGCCATGACATTGTGACATGATCAGTATGAAGTAAACAGCTTCTTGTGACAAGCATGCATTGAGCCATGGGATATGTGTCCTGAAACAGTTTGTTCATGACTGTTTCACAGAACAAGGAATTTTTGTTTTATTTTCCTACACAGTGTATTCTCAGATACTCAGGAACATGAATATATCCATATTTATGTGGGAAGGGAAAAACTTGTGTAAATATTTTAACACTACCTTTATTGAGACATTATGAAATTAATACAAGGTACCTTTGGTCTCTACGTTTACAAGCGGTGCTCAAAGTGGTGGCTGTTCACTTCCAGATGTTTACTAATACAGAAATCTGCTGCTTGCGTAGCCTTGGTCATTGAGATTACTGCACGTGGGTTTCCAATTTCTACTCTAAGGGCTGGCAATGTAGGGGTTTTCTGCAATCCACAAATCTTCTGCCTTACCATATGAGGATAACACCATCTGTTGAAAAGTCATCATAATATTTTCCTCTTTTTTTCTTTTTTAATTTAAGTTTATTGGTACAGTTTAGGCATATACAATGATCATGTTCATCATAGGGATTTTGTACTTAAAATATTTTGATTTGTCTTTTTTTCCCCTTCACACTCATCTCCCTTCGTTTTAACCCCTCCTTCCCTCCTTATTTACAAAGTTTGTTTCCATTTTATCCTTTTCTCATTTTTTCCTCTTCTTTTCCTTCCTTCTCCTCTCCCCCCTCCCTAGTTCCCCTTTCTTTTTGAACAATTTCTTCCCACTTCACCATATGTCTTGTACAATTTGGTTCTTATTCACACTTTCAGTTTCTCACACCAGTGAGACGATGCAGTATTCATAGATGTGTCTGACTTATTTCATTTAAGAGCCTGGTCTTAAAGTCCATTCATTTAGCAATTAATGTCTCATTTATCCTTCTTTATAGCAGAGTAGTACTCCATTATATATTAAAAATCTGCACATCTTTTTTATCCATTCATCAGTTGATTGGGTTGTTTCTAATATTTAGCTATTTCAAACTATGTCACTGTTTAGAAAAAAGGGCACACATATATCTCTACCGTATGATGCTTTTAATTCTTTTGAGAAAATACCAAGGAGAGGAATAGCCAGGTCAAATAGGACCTCTAGTCCTAGTTTTTTGAGGAACCTCCACACTGATGTCCACAGTGGTTGTACCAGTCTGCACTCCCACCAGCAGTGGAAAAGCATTCCCTTTTCCTCAGAGCCCCGCTGACATTTGTTATTGGTCAATTTTTTGTAATATCTATTCTTTCTAAAGTAAGATAGAATCTCAGTGTTAATTTAACTTGCATTTCTTGAATGATCAGTAGGTTGAACATTTTATGTCATACTATTTTTCTTTTCCTGATGGCAGATTCTGTGTGAGTGTGTGTGTGTGTGTGTGTGTGTGTGTGTGTATGTATACTGCATATATTTGTCTTTGTGTGTATATGCACACAAATAGACAGGGAAGATAGGAGAAAAAGGGGGCCAAAATCTAGAGATAGGCAGATGAGTCAAAATATATCCAGATAAAGGGTATACTGTTGCTTTCCATTTATGCAATTTCTACAAATTTCAAATACTTTTTTTTCTTTTTCTTTTCTTTCTTTTTTTTTTTTTTTTTTTTTTTTGTATCAGGGATCGAACTCACGACCTTGTGCTTTCCAGGCAAGTGCTTACACCACTGAGCTAAGTCCCCAGCTTCAAATAAATATATTTTTAAAAAATGAATCATCGACTATGTTGACCTGAGCTTCTCTGAACATTTGAGAATTTTGGCTTCGATTCTTTCAGATTTTCCCTCCAGATCCAGCTCTGCTCCCTAACCCTCATTTCGAAAGGCCCCCGGGACAGCATAAATACTTCTCCTTTCCAATTTGGTGCCACGTGTCCTATGTCTTGTGGAGCTTGTGGCAGACCAGTTTACAGGTGCCTTTCTGCTCTGCTGTGACTTAGCTGTCCTCCACAGGATTCCCATCTTCCAAAGACATCTCAATGCATTTTGTCATATCCTCTAGGTCTTCTCAGCACAAACCATTTGTACTTTGCAAATCCTTTAGAGCGTGTTACTGAAATACAGCTCCCAAACTGATACTGGATGTTAAGGGTCTTACTGCCCATTGCTTCCTAAAACACCATGGGGGACAAGTTATTATGGTAACAAGAAAAAAATTATTCAAAACTAATGCCACAGGAAATAAGGAAGCCTTTGCCTCCCATCTCTGTCTCAGGCTTACAGAGGATTTTGTTCAGGAAAGAGAAAAGGGGAATCCAGTGAAACAATAGACCAGGAAGGGTAGGGGCTGCCTCCACCCTTGAGGAAATGGCACGGGACTCCACTTCCTGCAGCCACCATCTGCGTAGTCCTTTCAGACAGGCATGCTGATTTTCTGATAGCTAATTTCCTGATTAGTTGGATATTTTTTATTTTTCTGATATTCCTTTTTTTTTTTTTTTTTTTTTTTTTTGCCTTTTTCGTTTTTATCGGTACCAGGGATCGAACTCATGACTGCCTGCTTGCAAGGCAGGCGCTTATGCCGCTGAGCTAAATCCCCAGCCCCTTTCTGATATCCTTCATTTGAGTGGAAGCGATGAGGAGGTAGTGGTTTATATTATTAGTATGAGGAAGTTAGAAAAAGAAAAAAGAAGCTATCTCTAAAAGAAAAAAATCATACTTTTAAAAGATTCCATTCAACTCCTTTGGCATAGCACTATTAAGCTTGGCCAATTCAAGTGTGAATCCAATATTTGGTGTATTCAGATTTACTATCCATCTCCAAAACCAGTTTTAAAATATTTTTATGACTTCAAAAAGAAACCATCTCCCTTTTACAATTCACACCACCGTCCCTCATTCTCCAGCTCTACACAACCACTCATCTGCTTTCTGTCTCCATAGATTTTCCTTTTCTGGACATTTTACAAAAATAGAATCATTTAACATGTGGTTGTTTCTAACCCTTTCACTTGGCAGTGTTCTCAAAGTGTACATCTAGGTTG